CGCTGAAAGGGATTTTTGGGCGTTTTGTATGGAATTTATTTTCATTGATTTTTGATGAGTTTAATGTGAAATATAGGAAAAAAGGTATATTCGCTGGATTTTATTTTCACAGAATCTTCACTTCAGCGAAAATAGCGAAAATAAATTCCAAGTGAAAATAAAGTATTCTACAGTATCTGTTAAATTAGTAGTAAATCCATGCAAACATGTAAAAATACAATATAAAAATCCCAGTGAATATGCTCAAAATATCAAAACAGTGAAATTAAATACCAGTGAATAATAATGCTTTCATAGTAGTGTACTGAATTGTCTGACAGTCTGAGGAATAATGTGTAGATGTAATAGAAGATTTTTGGTGCAAACTTTAAAAATAAAAACAGTGTAAAAAGTATGTTATAACAACATATAACTGGGCACAACTTTTTCAGCAGTGGTTGTTGTATTTCCAGAGTCATATGTTAAGTGTCAGCGGTTGATATATTAAAGCGGGAGGGTCGTCACTTGCGCACACTAAGGAATTGAGTCCCAAACGATGATAACAACACACGTTAAAAACGCCATGACATGCTATTGCCATCTGACGCATGCCCAGGCAACGACTCCTCCGCTTTAATGAGCAATTTTTAAATTTTTTAGAAGAATTGATATGCATTCCATAATGCCGAGTGAAAAATACATAACAATGGTAAAGATTTGGCACATGTTTTATTTATTCATCAATGATGCAGGTTGCCAAGGTAATTGGTGCAGCTGCAGACGACCTGGTTTCCATGGTGACTGTAACACCTGTAACAAAGAAAATGTAAGTCATGAACATACAACTGCATACTAATTACCAGCATTTTACGTAATGAAGTGTAGAATTCGCTTGTTTATTCACTATTCAAGCTGTTGAAATGGATAATGGTGACCACACTGTCATTCTGTGTCAGTTACTGTCAGAAGTCACACCAATGCTTTTTAAACAATTGAGAACCAAAATTTTACCTTTTTTTCACATGTGTGGATGCTCTAATAGAAGCCATATCTCTGTTGCAATATACCATTTTAATAGAAGCAGCAGTTATAAATTACAATTACAAATTGTACAGTACTAAACATAGCAGTATACATATTTTGGGAAAATTAACAGGTGGATATATTTCATAACATATTTACATATCAGATTATGTGATAGAGAAGTACATGTATAACATTAAAACACTTGGTTATTTCTTCAATTGCAGTAATCCAGATGCTCATTTTTCACTCCCAATAAGGAATCTTGTAAAGTATGGGTTTATTGCAGAGTCGAACGTGACAAGATTAGATGAGACTGCTTGTAAAATGGCAAACAAGGTGGTACAGCTATCCAACACTAATAATGAATACCATCATTATTCACTGACTGTAGTGCAATTAAAAATGATCCAGAAATACACATCATTTCATAAGATCTTGGATAAACTGCAAACCACTTACATGTACTGAAAATGTCACTGGGAGTTTCGTGTACAACACAGCAGAGTTGGCATGTCTTGTTTTTAAATAGCAGGATTTTGCTAAAATGTAGGGCTAATTAAGATAAAATGTAGTGTACAAAGTAGCCAGTAATTTTGATAACTGTTGTGATGACAACATACGCTGCACGTAGCCTGGAATCCATTCATTCTAAATGTACTGAAGATTGGCCTTGGCCTTGGCCTTGACTACAACTGGCTGTCCATATAGATTAACAGTTACACATCTGGAGTTATCATCACATGAAATTTCTGTTTATGAATATTCATTAACAAACTAAGTTGAATGCACATGTAGTGTCTGACACAAGCTAAATTCTTATATCACGTGTCTATGACATCAGTCTGTTACTGTTACCACATGCATGATTACTAACCACAGGTAAGCTGGCCCACCCACAAAAATTTGGACAAACTGTCTAGTAGATTTTTCATAGATTTTTCATAGTCTTGTGATCATAGATCTAATCTACACTACACAGTGACTTTTTTGAAATTATACAGATTAGAAACACCATACCGTCATTAAGACATCGAACCATGAATATTTCTTGACAATTAATTAGATTGAATATTGACAGTACCGGTAATTTCATTTGCAACTCGATCTGGTTTTAGTATAAAATTTGATTCAATACAAGCACCCAAGCTCACAATAATAATTGAGCTTTGTAGCACTTTGTCTTTCTTATCTGAGAGTAGTATAAAAGTTTTACTTCTCTTATGTAACCATTGCAATATTTATTTCCAATACACTGTATTTATTCTGCTTAGATTGTATGTGATAACCCCATTATGAATGTAACTGCAGATAGATCAGTCCTTCAGTTCAAAGTCAACCACCCTCTGATGGTTAAGGTGAGTGCTGTTTTTTTTTTGTGTTCTTTAGAATTGAAATTTGACACAGAGACACAGAGAAATTATGTATGGATAAATCATGGTCACATGATATTTGTGACATATTCATCATGAGTGTTATCTATTACTTGTACCATTGTTGATACAAATTAGGGAAGTTACTGACTAATGAAACACTGTCAGTTAGTAAACTTGTCAATTCATTATGTATAATCATAGGTTTTCATCTGAATACCATGCTATATTGTGCTTTCTCTGATGATAAAATAGATTGTCATATTGGCTAATAATTCAATTTTTTTTCTTTGGCAATTCAAACTTTTTTATCATCCACTTCGCAAAAGGGGAAAAATAAAAAATCATGAATTTAGCAGAAAATTAGAAATTAACATGTTCTGCCGTAACATATATCTACCCGGTATGTGGTACCCGGTAATTATCATTTTCACTAAATAATTCCTTTGAAATTACTCAATGGTGACAAATGTGATGCAATTTATTGTAGCTAAATCAAAATGAAATTCACCACTGGTGTCTGGTGAGGGGTTAGTGGATCAAAGCCCAGCCATATTAATAATAATAAGTAGAATAATTGATAATTTATAATGTATGTTGTTATTATCGATGTATTTAAGGTAGCGGGA